AGAGGCTCCTGGTCAAGAACTTCAGCTCCTCCCCTGCTCCTGTTCTGACAGTCTATTGCAGAGAGGTCTGGCCTAGAGGCAGCCCGGCCTGGAATGTGCCACTGTCTGGGTGCCATCATGAATTGAGCAGTCCAGGAGGGGTCAAGTCACCTCCCTAGCCTTATCTAGCCTTTGTCCTCAGAGCCAAAGCCCCCATCCCTGTTGCCCTGTGATAGGCGGTCAGTAAGTGCTTCTACAGAGTCTCCAAGGCTAAGAGACTTATGTCCTCCAGGCTGGACCCTTAGCCTAACTGAGTTCCAGTTGTCTCTAGGAAAAGCAGTGGGCTTGGGAGCAATCAGATGGTCTGATCAAACGAGTTCCATATGGGCAGCCTGTTAGGCTGTGTGACCCTGGGTGATTCATTTCCCATCTTTGGACTTCACTTTCTCCCCTATAAGTGACAAGTTAGTTCCATCATACTGGGCTGTGACTCACAGCACAGCATAAGGGGACAGAGGTCTGACCTTTGTGCTTGGCTTTAACTTAAGCTTTGAAGGTTTTTTACCCAGACCTACTGCTCAGACACCTGAGAATGATGGATATATTCTTCTAGAGGCCACAGGGGAAAAGAATTGCACTTTTGTGGAAGAAAGCAAATCCTCCACAGGTAGAGTTGGAGGAGAGTGGTTTTCCAGAATCTTCTAGCTATTGTTCTCCTGTGTCCCATTCAGCTACCTGCTGCCCACAATGATCAAATTCAGTGAGCAGACATTTGGGAGGGCAGATACCTTAGGGACCAGACATGAAGTGTATGTATGCCTCTGTGTGTGTGTGTGTGTGTGTGTGTGTGTGCGCGCGCGCGTGCGAGAGAGAGAGAGAGAGAGAGAGAGAGAGAGAGAGAGAGAGAGCGCTGTGGCAGCTCCAGCCATGGCTGACACACTGTAAGACACTAAGCCTGATATTGCTAGACCTTCTGAGTTTTTAAGAGAAGTCAGAAGTCTGGAATTTTATGTGACATCTCCTGAATTTTGCATGTTGGCAACTAAAGTCAATTAAAACAAAAATACCAGCTTGGGCCAAACAAAGCTGCAGGATGCGTTTGGCCGCGGGTGGCCAGTTTGGGATGCCCGATATAGAATCGCAGAGGGACCCAGGAATAGTCGCGACCTAACAATAGCCAGGTGCACCAGCCAGTGAAAAGCACAAGGAAACATCCAGGAGCACAGTGCTCACATCTGCAGAGGACAGACATGCTGGCCCCTGTGCATGTCCACTCTGGATGCTGAGTCCTAGCAAGGGTTAGCCAGCTGATGGCTGAGCGCAGAGGAGGGTCTGCCTGTTGTCATTGTGTATGCATGACTTTTTCTTCATTTATCCTCCACGCTCTTTTAATTATCCCGTGGGCTGCAGTCATGGCTTTGTGTCATGTTAAAAGTTTCTTGTAGGTCCGGGGAGATAGTGCATTTGGGGATGTGCGTGGTGTGCTAGTGTGAGGAAATGTGTCTGGGTCCTCAGTACCCAGGAGAAAAGCTGTATGTGGTGGCTCACTCTTAAAATCTCAGTGTTGGGGAGATGGAGGCAGGCTCATCCCTGGCTATGGTTAGCCCCTCAGTCCAGCCTAGTTGATGAGCCTCAGGCTAGTGAGAGAGATTGTGTGAAAAATCAAGGTGAGTAGCTTCTGGGGAAATGACCCCTGAAGTTGACCCCTGGCCATTACGCACATGTGTGCAACTGCACACACGTGAACTTGTATGTATCTCTACCATGCACAGATTATTTGCAGTAATACCAGAAAGGGTAAAATAAGTGCTCTAAGTGCAAGCCAAGGGCTGTGGGAACTGTGGGAGGGAGGTAAAGGAAGACAGCTGGTTACCTTCAGGGACCTGGGAAGCTCTCAGGGAGAAGATGTTTCTGGGTCTCCAGCTTGCAGATGGCAGATTGTGAGTCCATGATCATCATGGCAGGGAGCATGGCAGCAGGCAGGCATAGCTCTGGAGCATAGCTGAGAACTTACATCTCATCTTCAAGCTGGAGGCAGAGAGAGGGGAGGAGAGAAGGAGGGAGATTGGGCCTGATGTGGGCTTTTGAAAACCCCAAAGCCTACCTCCCAGTGATACACCTCCTCCAATAAAGCCATGCCTCCTAACAGTTTCCCAAAATAGTTTTATCAACTAGGAACCGAGCATTCAAATATATGAGCCTATGGGGACCATTCTCATTTAGGAAACCACAAGTATATTTTATTTTACTAATTTTGAAAAAGATATTTTATTATTTTGTGTATGACTGCTTTACCTGCAAGTATGTGTACAGACCATGTATGCTCCTAGTTCCTTTAGAAGTTAAAAGAGGGCACTGGATCCTAACTTCGAGTTGAAGGGTTTTGCTCGGCCTCACATTCCCACAATTTCTCTGCTGCCCCATAGACTGCTTCATTGCAGGCCTAAAAGTGACAAGGCCAACCAGTCAGGAACTGAGACCACTGAAACCATAGGCCGACATATACCGCTCTCCTTTGTACGGCAGCCAGTCATCGTAGGTATTGGTTACGGTGACTGAATGCTGACGGACACTGCCTATCACCAAGGAGCAGGATTCTGTGGAAGTTTTAGCTTCTTGTTCTTTTGCCTCTACCTTTCTGTAGTTTCTATGGATGTAAACATCAGCCTTTTTAAGTGAGGAGAAAAATTGTTTACTTTAGAAGACTAAATTTGGAATTTTATTTGATGTTTTATATTTGCAAGTTTTTTTAAATCATAAAGTTAATTTTAAAAATTAAAAAAAAGGAAAATAAATCGGGGTGGCAGCAAGATGGCCCAATGGGCGAAGGTGCTTGGGGAGCAAGTCTGATGGACTGCAATTAATCTTCAGAACCTGCGAGAAGGTGGAAGGAGAGGGCCAGCTCCACAGAGTTGTCCTCTGACCTCCTCCGCATGTGCCCCATGTCATGTGTGGCCCCCCATCTCATCCACACGTACCGACAGACAAAAAATAAAAAAATAAATTTGGCAAATACAAATTACTGTCAGAGTAAACTAGTATCTGTCTGTCTGTTTGCCTGCCTGCCTACCTGTCTACTTATTTTTAGATCTAGGAACCAAGGTCTAGTACATGTTAGGTGAGCACTGTGGTCTACTGACTGTCCTCACCAGGTCCTAAGTTAGTATGTTAAGAATATAACTGAGCAGTGAGCTGATGGGCAGAGGCACTGTCCCCAAATCACTTTTGCCCCTCCCTGCACCTACAAGGGACAGCCATCTGCTTGATAGGTTTTTGAAGTGAGTGGGACATAGGGTCACAACTCCATCAATCCAAGGCCTGTCTCTTTGCCTTACACAGTGAATTTACCCATGAGATTTAGGACACTTTTACCATAATATTTATTCAGTTTTATGGTTTTAAATATAACACTAACTCCTAATAATCAATATTGATTTAACTATAATATCTTATTTATAGACACAGTCCTCTGGTTTGCATATGGACTCAAGCTATAATGGAACAGAAATAAGTCTCTCGCTCTCCTGGCCCTGGGCCAGCACCACCGGCCTCTATGAATGGCTGTGAGGCCAAGATGGAGTTTATAATTTGTGATGTTCACTGATCCCCACCCCCACCCAAAATGGCTGCCTCCTGCCAGCCAGTGAGCCGCGGGGGCGCTAAGCGTGTCTATCCTGAGGTCTTCCCGTCAGTCTTCAGCTACAGACGGTCCGGTTGTAGAGACAACCGGTTCTAAGCAGAAATGGTAAAGGAAATGAGGCTTTGGTGGGCAGAGAAACAGCTAAATGTAGAAAGGCTGTGGTGGGGCTTGGGAAAGAGCCTCTCCCCATCTCATCCCGAGGAGCTGGGGTGAGTCTCTCAAGTTGTTATTATTGTGCTTATCATTAGTGCTGCAGAAGTATCCAGGTAGCAAAGACTGCAGCCGCCTCTTCTGAAGCCACTGCTTGTAGGTAGGGACGCTGGCCTGGTCACTGGGATCTGGTGTGACACAGGTGTGTGAGGAAGGGTAGGCCATTCATCTCGGAGAAGTTTATCCTTCCCCAGAGAGACTGGGGAAGCCTAAGGTTAAAGACTTGTTTGCTTTTGCCCAGGTGCTGTGTCCTCCGCTGATCAGGGTACAATGTCTGTTGTCCAGAACATGGCCTCTCCCTTTGGAAGTTTCTGGAATCCCCACTCTTTTTGATGAGTGCGGTGGAGAGCTGTATTTATATCCTTAGAAACTCTCTGCACATACATATAATATTCATTTACACTTCTGAAGGAAGCTCTAGATTCCCCAAGAAACCTCTGACTTAGGCCTGCCTGATTAAAGCAACCCTTGCCCCTGGTTACAGATTAGGGTGAACCCCAGGACGTTTGGAGGAGTCTGGTTATTTTTCAGTTACGTAAAACAGAGGGTGTTGGAGCTGGTGACGGACAGTTTTAACTTCAACTTCCTACAGCCTAGGAAGGCATGGGGGAAAAGTCTGAATGAATAATTCCTTAGATCAGGTTGGAGTGTGGGCATGTCTGTTGGGGACTGTTGATTGTTAGCTGAGGTGGGAAGACCCCCGTATGGGCACCATGTCATGAGCTGGGCCCTGGACTATATAACAGAAAGCTAACTGAGAAGCAACCAGAGAGTGAGCAAACACGGATTCTCTCTGCTCTTGGCTGCGGCTGTGATGTTTTCCTGCAGTAATGGACTATAACCTAGAATTGTAGGACAAATAGGCCCCCTCTCCCCTATGCTGCTTTTTTCTGTCCCTGCTGTTTTATCATACCAGCCACAGAGATGCTAGAACGGAGGTCCGGTAGCCATTTGGCACTGTGTGACCCATGAAGAAAACCAAACCGACAAACCAACATAAAAGACACGAGACCAAGATATGTCTGCAGGAGCCCCTACTGTTTTATTTAGACTCCAAATCCCTTCTTAGATAATAACCCCCACACCCTAACTCCATATAGTCCTGGGAACATGTGACCTTCATCATTGTTCAAGGTGACATTCCTCAATCAGATTCTTTCTCTCAACACAGGGACTAAGTGAGCAAGATGGGCTGAGACCCAAGAGTACTACAGTGTAATGCAGGAGTCCGGCTGGATTGCAGAGTAATAGAACCCAGATGCTCCAGCGTGTTCGTTGTTCTTGGGACACACCTCCAGTCATAACAAGCCAGAGCCATGAGGCCGCAAAGAGGCATAACGGTAATATCAACAGTGCTTTGGTTATTTACTGCTCATAGACCAACCCCATGCTGAAGGCCGCAGACCAGCTGTTTCTTCTTCTTGCTCCTGGTTCTGGAGTGAGCTGGATTTGGCTGGGGGATTCTCACTCGGGGTCTCTCCTGATGTGGTAGTCAGACCATGGCTGGGGCTGGTTGCTGTGTGAACTTGCAGCTGGCCTGCATATCCTGCTTGGGTGTCACCTACCAGGTGACACTGGCCAGCAACAGATGCTTATTGGCAAATAATAGTTCTGGGCAAGGAACTCTCCTGGGACTCTTTCCAGGCCCTTCCCGGGTGGCTTGGATTCCTGTTGCATATGCCTGGCTTCTAAGTAGAAATGTCCCAGAGTTTCCCAGAAATGGGCCAAGGAAAAGGAACCAAAAAAAATCACCAAGTTTCCTCAGAGGAAGCGCTCAGGCTGTTTCAGTGTCTCCTCTGCCCTCACAGGAACAAGCAATCACAGGCCTGGCTAGATTGCATACCTATTTACAGGTGACTGAACCACGGTGACCACTTGATCGACCTAGATTGATCACATGGTTGCATCTTAGGCTGGAAGGGGGGATCAACTGTTTTTTGTAGTGTTTGTTCTTTTTGTCAGACTCCTGACACTTTTTCCTTCTCGGTCATTACAGGCCTGGGCTAAAGTGCTTGGGAGAAATGAGAGTTGACAGGGAGTGGAGAGAATGTTTGGATAAACAGGAGTGATTTCTAATTATATTGGTTACTAGCTCTGTGCAAGGCAAGTTCTATTTCCTTTAGTCCTCAGAACAATCTTTCAGTGACTCCCATTTTACAGATGAGAACATTGAGGTGTGCAGAGGATGGGAGGCAGTATAAAGGATGCTCCGTTGTCAAACAGAGCCTCAAACTAAAAGAAGTTGAGATGATAAAAGCCCATTTAATGTCTTGTGGAAAGGGGACAAGAAGCTGGGAACGCCCCACCTGCAGGTGTCTTCTCTGGTCTGAGGCAGTGACGCATTGGTAAAGGGCTTGCTGTGTGGGCATGTGGACCCAAGTTTACACCACCAAAGCTGCTATGAAAGCCTCTCTGGTGCTCTCTATCTGTAACCCCAGCCCTGGGGGCCTGGAGTGAAGGATCTCTGGGGCTTGCTGCCCAGTTAGTCAGTCCAGCTGAATCTGAGTTCCAGAGCCTGCCTCAAAAATATGAGATGGAGAGTGGTGGAGGAAACCCAGTGTTTGCTCCTGGCCTCCCACACACATGCACACACACATGCTAAGAGAGAGAGAGAGGGAGGGAGAAAGGAAGGGAGGGAGGGAGGGAGGGAGGGAGAGAGAGAGAGAGAGAGAGAGAGAGAGAGAGAGAGAGAGAAATATTCTTCCTAGATTTTACCCTACTGCCTCCAGAAGGTGGGTGATGTCTCCTTCCATCTTGGTAAAATGGCCGCACTGCAGCAGGTACCAGTGATTAGACCAATCACTTGAGTGACCCATCATCTTTCATCTTCTCATTGTGTCAGTTTCCTTTTTTAATTTAATTTTATTTTTTTGAGGCAGGGTTTTTACTATGTAGCCCTGGTTGTTCTAGAACTCTCTATGTAAAACAAGCTGTCCTGGAACTCACAGAGATCTGCCTGCCTCTTCCTTCCACATCACCGTCCTGACCTGCAATAAACCAAACACCGAGAACAGTATTGTTAAGACTAGTTTAAACTAGTTATAGGTAGCAAACAAATGGCAACTTGGGGTGACATTTATCGTACTGCTGTGCGACCTCCCCTGCCCTAGAGTCACTACCTGCTGAGTTCAAGACAAGGAGAGGGGAGGAAGATAGTCTCTCCCACGGTGACGGGGTAAACCGTGACCCGCTGTTCTGGCTGGATGATGAGCACATCCCACTGTATCCCACATCTGAGATGGCGGTGGCAGATGGGGCACATTTCTAAGACACTAGTGGGAGCTGTACCAGCAGCGAGGAGATACTGCCCCTGAAGCAGGTCGGAGCCTTCCCAGCCTGAAGAAGACTTCAATACTTCCAAGCCGTATTTTCCCCTGGACCACTGATGCAGGCAGAAAGAGCGGACTCTTACGGGGACTCTGAAGAAGGGGGAGAGTTCTCATAGAGGAAGCAGTGCAGTTTCTAGTTTTACTATCCCCTCTGAAGCTTGAGCTGGGCCCTTGCCTCATCCCTCTTCCCCCCATTTTTTCCACCTCACCTCAGTGACTCTCAGCCTGGGAAATCACCAGAATGCAGATGCAGCTGCCTAAAAATACCTGCTGCCCAGTTTCCCTCTCAGGCAGCTCGGAGCGTGGAGGAAGGCGTGTATTTCCCAACACCCTCTTTTCCTTGACTTCTATGAGTTGGGCTGGCTCTCTCTCTCTCTCTCTCTCTCTCTCTCTCTCTCTCTCTCTCTCTCTTCCCCTCCCTCCGTTCCTCCTTGTCCTTTTGAGACAGAGTCATATAGCCCAGGCTGGCCTCAAATTCACTACTGTAGTCTAGGGTGACCTTGATGCCAGTCCTTTAGAGTGCTGGGATTGTGTGTACACGGTCACTCCCAATTTTGGTGCTGATGAGACCAACCCCCAGGGCTCTGTGCATGTTAAATAAACATGCTACCAGTGAAGATACAGCCTGGCCCTGGTTTTGCTTTCTTAACAAAGTGGTCCATACACTGGAGATGGCCCAAATCTCCTTAGCCCCATTGTGGGGATCTCAGGCTTTTTCACATAGTGGCACTATGCCAGGTGGGAGTACTTTGCTATGCCCCTAGTTTCTATGGTCCTGTTCATGTTACCCAGGCCCAGCTAGTGAGGACAAAGCTCCTTGTCACCTCTTTACAGTGTTTGTGAAGCTTGGATACTCAGTACCAGGCAATAGTCACCCCTTTTCTTCTTGCTCCAGGGGCAGCAAGAAGATCGCAGGGTACCCTGCTGCCTCTGGCCACCCATGAACGGGGTCATGGAAACAGTTTAGAAAAAAGCAAGCCACTCACTAAGGACCCTGGACACTCTGGGTAGCATTTCTGACACCCAGGAGCTTTTGGGAGGCTCTGACAGCTCCGGGTGGGGGCTGGGAGATAGGTAGAAGGAGAAGGAAATACATTTTTAAAGATAACCTGGAGGCAAATATAATATTTATACTTATTTATCCTCAGAGCTCACGCGCAAGGCCCCAGACATGTCTAATGAGCAGGAATTGCAAAATGGCCATGAGTCCTACCTGTTTGCCTTTGCAGACTCTCCTAGCAGGCACACGGACCCGCAGTTTTCAACTGTGTGACCGCTGCAGGCAAAACGGCTGTAAGGAACACCGGAGCGCGTAGCGAGCATCTGACTCCCAGAGGCAGGGAACCACAAAACTGCCAACCCAGGAAAATGAGGTGCTCCCGTCTCCTTCCCTTCACAGAACACAGAGCTGCTCAGGGTGCTGGTGTACATGTGCACACACACATGCTCACGCTGAGGTGCGCTGAGAGCTTCTGTACCCTTGCGCCTCAGTCCTGTGGACACGTCCTTGTGCAGGTTCATAAATGCTCTCTGACGGGTGCCACGGGTGCATCCTGCGGCAGGATGCTCGATGGCTGTGGTCTTGTTCTGGTCAGGACTCTTATTATGTGTTCTGGTTGTTCTGAGTACAGATCATAAGAATGGCCTCCTGGACCATCGAGATGGCTCAGTGGGTAAGGGTGCTTGCCACCAAGCCCAAGTCCAGTCCCTAAAATTCGTGGTGTAAAGAGAAAGTCAACTCCTGCAAGGTGTCTTCTGCCCTCTTCATGTGGTACACATGAACACACACACATAAATTAATATAGAAAATAAATATGATATCCTACGTATATAATGATCATAAAGAGATTAAGGGGAAGAGAATGCCATAGAATTTCCTATATGGTTAACTTTAACTCAAGTAGCCATGCGGAGCATCTATATGTATCGCTATATAAATACATCTACAGATACATATGCATACTTTCAAACAGAAAAATATATGGTTATAAATAAATGTGTGCACATACTGCACAGTGAGACTGGGGTTGGCTTCTGGGCTTTACTCTTGGGGACAGATGAAGCCCTTAACTGTCGGGACTGCATCTGCCCAGGGTGACTTTTGTGTTGCTGAGACAAAAATACCTGGGGGAATAGCATCAGGAGGAAACACTTGTGTGTTGGCTCAGGAATTCTGGAGATTTGGTGGGGGGAGACATGTCAGGGCAGCTTTGTCTGTGTAATGGGAGTGTGAAGTGGCTGGTGTGGGCAGCTTCACCCCATGTGGTGTGAGTATGAAGTAGCTGGTATGGGCAGGCCCGCCATATGTGGTGGGAGTGTGAAGTGGCTGGTGTGGGCAGCTCCATGCCCATGTGCTGGGAGTGTGAAGTGGCTGGTGTGGGCAGCTCCATGCCCATGTGGTGGGAGTGTGAAGTGGCTGGTGTGGGCAGCTCCACCCCATGTGGTGGGAGTGTGAAGTGGCTGGTGTGGGCAGCTCTATGCCCATGTTGTGGGAGTATGAAGTGGCTGGTGTGGGCAGGCCCGCCCCATGTGGTGGGAGTGTGAGGTGGCTGGTGTGGGCAGCTCTATGCACTTGTGGTGGGAGTATGAAGTGGCTGGTGTGGGCAACTCCATCCTATGTGGTGGGAGTGTGAAGCAGCTGGTGTGGGCAGCTTCGCCCTGGATAGTAGGAGTGTGAAGTGGCTGATATTGGTGTGGTGGAAGCAGAGTCAGCTAGCCTGGAACCAGGAGTGGGTATAACCATCAGGGACTTGACTCTAGTGACATTAAGATTTTCCGTTCTGAAAGGTTCCTGTGCCCTAAAAACAGTTCTGCAAGCCAGGGATCAAGTACTATAACATGAGCCTGTGGGGGACATCCTGGACTCAAACCCTAGCAAGCGAAAAGATAGCTCTTAGCAGAACTTCCTGAAGGCATTCTGATTCTTTTCTGGAGCTGTGGAGAAGGGCTGTGAAAGAAAGAGGGTTTGGGGGCAAGGCGGTTGGACCAGCATCTGTAATGAGTCTCCTTGACCTTAGGCGTCTCAGCCAGTGAGATATTAATGTCACTGGGGAATCTCTGAAACAGAACTAAAGTCTGTAGTTTTTAGCTTGTTCCACTTGGGAACCTGGCCCTGCCCACACAGCCTGGATGTTCCTGTGATCTGAGCCCCTAGCACACACGGTCCAGACAGTTCTTCTCCCATCTTCCTGCAGGCAGGAGTAGCTGGTTGATGCTTTGGAGCATCTAGAAGAGGAAGCAAAGGAAACTCTTGCACCAGGACCTGACGCTCATACTGCAAAAACAAGAGTGTTTTTGTCCCAAGGGACAAGTGTCCATGTGGTCACCTCCTAGTGAGCCCCACAGAAGTCTTCTGGCTCCAGCCTTCCCCAGGGACAGGGCCCTTCTTGATGTCTGGGGAGCTGACCTTTTCAACGGGGGTCTTGGAGGAAGTGGGGCTACAGCTGGGCCCTGACCCTCTGCCCTCTCGGGTTCTCAGCCATTGCCGGAAGAATCACTTGCAATGGTGACTCAGCCCTTGGCCATGGGTGGCCCGAGCTGCATTGGCTGGGTGGGGTCCTTGCAGCTGGCTGAGCCTGCTTCCTCCAGTATGGGTCTTGCACTTTCTTCCTTCAGCCATGATTTTTAATTCTGGAAGTTTTCAAACCTATGGACAAATCTGGAAGAACAGTGTCATTGTTACCCATGAAGCCTGCGTGGAGAGTTGCCTGTGGAAACTGTTTGCCACATTGTTGCAGCGGTCTCTTTCCAGTAGAGTGTTTGCAAGTGCCTTTGGATACCGTGCCTCCTCCGATCGGAATACTCCTCCCAAGAACGAGGCCATCCTTTACAGTCACAGTATCTCTGTTGCACACAAGAAAATCAACAGCAATTCTAAAATGTCAGTTTTCGGTTCAGTCACATTTCCCAACTGTTCTAAAATAAGGTTTCTAAATCTTTTGTTTAAAGTAAATAATTTGAACTCTGGGCTGGAGGCATGACTCCCAAAAGCATGAGGGCCTGAGTTCGATCCCCAGTACCTACTTAATAAAAGGTGGGTGAGGTGGTGATGGTTTCTAATGCCAGGAATAGGGAGGTGGTGACAGACAGATCCCTGGCTGGACAGCCAGCTTAGCCTACTTGAGCTCCAGGCCAGTAAGAGATCCTGTCTAAAAAGAAACTGGTGGATGGGACTGGAGAGATGGCTCTGGCTTAGGAGTGCTTTCTGCTGTTTTAGAGGACCTAAGTTCAGCTCCCAGCACCCGTGTCAGGCAGCTCACAGCCACCTGTAATTGCAGCTCCCAGGAGATAGGTGCCCTTTTGTGGCCTCCACAGGCACCTGCGCACATGTGCAACCTCGTTCTTATAAACACATATGTGCATATCTGCAGCCTCACACATATGTGTGTGGTTTGTGTGCACATGTGTAGTCTCATACTTATGAACATGCATGTGCACATGTGCAGCCTCACGCATGTGGGTGTGTGTGGTATGTGTGTGCACATGTGCAGCCTCATACTTATGAACATGCATGTGTACATCTGCAGCCTCACACATGTGGGGGTGTGTGGTATGTGTGTGCACATGTGCAGCCTCATACTTATGAACATGTATGTGCACATCTGCAGCCTCACACATAGGAACATGTGTGTTCACACATTTGAACTAGAGTCTAATCAGGTAATACATTTTTATGTTTTACGTTTGCTCTTTTTTGTGCATTTATTATTTTTTATTGTACTGCTTCTGTTTTTATCATATCTTACAATAAAAATATAGTTCATATTTCTTTTTTATTGTTTTTATTGAGCTATATATTTTCCCCACTCCCCTCTTTCCTCCCCTCGTCCCTTCTAACCTCTCCCATGACCCCCACACTCCCAATTTACTCAGGAGATCTTGTCTATTTCTCCTTCCTATGTAGATCCATGTATGTCTCTCTTAGGGTCCTCTTTGTTGTCTAGGTTCTCTGGGGTTATGAACGGTAGGCTGGATTTTCTTTGCTTTATGTTTAAAAGTCACTTATGAGTGAGTACACAACACCCCTTCATGATAAAAGTCTTGGAGAGAGCAGGGATACAAGGAATATACCTAAACATAATAAAGGCAATATACAGCAAACCAATAGCCAACATCAAACTAAATGGAGAGAAACTCCCAGCGATTCCACTGAAATTAGGAACAAGACGAGGTTGTTCACTCTCTCCATGTCTATTCAATATAGTACTTGAAGTGCTACCTAGAGCAATAAGACAACAAAAGGAGATATGACAGTATACATAAGTGACCCCAGAAATTCTACTAGGGAACTCCTACAACTCATAAACACCTTCAGTAATGTAACAGGATACAAGCTAACTAAAAAAATCAGTAGCCCTCTTTTATACAGATTTGCCTCCACATGTGTCACATGCACACAATAATAAATGATATTTTTCAAAGAAGCTCCTCAAAGGGTTGGCATATCGTAGGTGATCTTATTAAATCTGTGTCATGTTTTCAAGTTGCATATCCAGGAAGTTCAAAAATCTAGGCCTGGTAGCACATGCTGTAATCTAAGCCTTCAGGAGGCTGAGGCAGAAGGGTCAGGTGTTGCACGCCAGTCTGGGTTACATAGCGAACCTGTCTCAAAAAAGAAAAAATGGAAGAAAGGAAAGGAAGGAAGGGAAGGGGGAGGAGAGAAAGAAAGGTAGGGAGGGAAAAAAGTTAATAGTAATAAACCAAAAATAAGTGAATAATAAATTTCGACACAGTCCTGGTGCACAGTATGTGTGTGGATGTCAGAAGCGCTGGGATTAAAGGTGATGCCATCATCACGTGTATATCAAGCATCCTACAGGCGGCTAGCCCACACTACCACCGAGTTATATCCTGGCTCCTTCTAACCTTCCCATAATTACTTATCCTCCTGAGTCCTTATGTGTGTATTCTCTTCAGGTGCCTCTTACCTCACCTCTGCACCCCATACCTTTTGCTTCTTTGAGGTTGCTTGGCCGGATGCCCTGCCCCTCAGCACCCTGAGTTCATTTATTCCCCAGTGCCCAGCTCTAATGCTGTCTTGTAGAAGCCACACCCATCTCATCTCCATCCAAGCTCCGCCTCACTGTCTTGCGGGCTTTCACTGGCACCACCATCTCAGTGCTTCCTGTCTGGTGCACAGGCTTTGCTTGTAGCTGTAGAGCAAGCTCTCAGGAGTGGGGTTCAAATCCCAGGTCCTTCACACACCGAGTGACTTTATATGTGCCAATTCACCTGAAATTTCATTTTCCTCGTTCCTAAGAGAAAGAAGGTTGTCATGGACGAGGCTTCATGGTGCTTCAGAATCCAGTGGTGCTTTCACAGAGTGCTTGACAGAGTGAATGTGAGCTCCTGACAGACCCTGAGCAGTGTGTGCACGTCGGCCCTGCTGGCTGGATTTCCTTCCTAGACCCCACATGCAGCCTGACACCGAGCATCTGGGGCTGTCCTGAGGGTCATTTCCCCCAAATACCGAACGGGTCCCAGCAGATGCCACAGACCTGAGTTTCGCTTGCATTTTGGCATTTCTTCATCACCATCCTCAGTGTGGGGCAAGACTTGGCTGGGCCCACAGCCAGCAATAAAGCGGATGCTAATCATATCATTATATGCTGAATAATTAACTGTCATTTAAATATTCATATGTTGTTGGGGGCAAGGCCTTTTATCAGTATCTGGGGACGTGTCAGCAGAGGAAAGAGATGGATGTCACCGAGGCTGACTTTGTCTGTGAAGGGCGACCTGGGGTCCAGGGAGAGCCATTGCAGTGGCCACCAGACAGTCAGCTAATATATAACTGCAATATTCTTACGTGATAAACGGCAACTTCATAAACGCTTGATGCATATGAGCAAGCCTAAAACAATATTGGAAGCATTAATTTCATTTGACTAATGCTTATCTATATTTTATCCTCTTCCATCTCCAAAGAAACCCCTCTTTCCTTCAGGGGAAGGCCGGCAGGGCCGGAGGATTGCTCATAGGCTAGAGCATTTCTACTAGTTCTGCCTTCGGGATGATGTGACTTGGGACATCTGTCATGGACCGACTGTCTCTGAGTGATGGAGGCCTGCCTGAGAGTTTGCCTCTAGCCCTGTGGGATAACCCAGCCTCTCTGGTGGCATTAGGGGAGAGAAGCTTGGACATCTCAGGTCTGGCCAGGAGGAATGAAGCTGTGTAGGTGCCCACACTTGGGGTCAAGAATCAACCAAGAGGGGAGGCCCAGAGGACAGAAGCATGGGAAGGTAGGGACTGCCCTGTGGTGGGGCATGGGTGGGGAAGGGAGCAGAAGGAGAGAAAGGGGGTGGAGGAGGCTGAGAAGATACAGGAGGGAGATTATGGCACCTAAAAGTCTGGCGATGCGTGGGCCAGACTGGGGAGAAAAGCGGCTTGGTAGGGGGTCAGTAACAAGGAAGGGTTTTAGAATGGAGAGTCTTGAGTTGGGCTCTCACTGTGCCGGTAACTAGCCGTGTGACTTTAGAACCGCCCTTTTTTCAGCCCTCAGTTTCCACGTGTAAAATGGGAAACAGCATTTAGTGGATGGGTTCATTGTCTATTCTGTGTGAATTCTAAGACGGGACCTCAGACTTGGCAGCTTTAAATAATACGTTTCTCACCACATTGGTGACTGATGGCTTATCTTATGGGTCCTCTTCTGAGGGTCTCACGTAGCTCCATCAAAGATCAGCTGGGATCATCCATCAGGAGGCCGGGATGACGGGTGGTGGTAGTGATGGTGGTGATGGCGGTGATGGCGGTGATGGCGGTGGTGGCGGTGATGGCGGTGATGGTGGTGATGTTGGTGATGGCGGCGGCGGCAGCTGTGGTGACGTTGGTGGTGATGGCAGAGGTAATGACAGTGGTGGGTGTCTGCTTTCAAGAATCCTCTGCAGTCAGCTGACTTTTGTTTCCTTTCAGGGCCTTGCTCTTGTTGACTGTCCCTCGAGGAGACCCTCAACTCGGAGTGTCCCATAGTCACTGGCCTGGGGGTTTTCTTCAGCGTGGCTGCTGACTGCATCAAGCAAGTGCCTGCACCTAAGACAGAGCTTATTCAGGGTAGAGTAAGCAGGAGGCGTGGAGGAAGGTTGCCACTTTTCCAGGTTTATTAGAGGTAAGTGACAGGTTCTGCCCACAGATATGGGAGGGGATAGTACTGGGGGTGTTAGAGTGACCATCGTGGCTAACAGGGGTGGCAGTAACTGCTCACTGTCTGGCAATTGCTCGGTGTCTCCGTGGTTTGTGACCTTTCTCATCTAACCTGCAGAGCAATACAGGATGAGCAGGGACTACCATCACTGTACCAGTGAAGAGTATGGCTCTCAAGGAGCCCCCACCCTGACCAGGGGGAGGCAGGGCCACTGTGGACTGGGTCATGGCCACCGTGCGATCCAACACCCAGAGGTGCTGGTGAAGACAAGCTGCAGAAGACACTCAGGACATGTCCAGGTCTGGCCACTAACACTAAATAACCCAGCTTGGATTTGGCTTCCTCTGGCAGCCTTGTCTGTCTGTACTCTGCACCCACAGGGAGACTACCTTCATACCCCCTGAATGCTCTCATGTCCCCTGAATGGTCATGTGACTTTCATGCGGTTACACGTAACTATAGCGCACTTGGGGCAACATGAGAATCACGGAGAATAACTCTGGGCATGGTGCTCTACCTGGAACACTTGTCTGTTGGTGCCTCAGGCCTCAGCTTCAATATCGCTGGTTCTTTATGACTACGGTAATATCAAGGATGGTAATACTTGATAACCTCAGCACACACTTACCATCTTGCAATCAGGATTGGAAGTCTGAGATAGCTTTCACTGGGCTAAACTCAATCAAGGAGTGGCTCTATTTCCTGCTGGCCCAGTGTCCCTGGCTCTGGGCCCCTTCCTGTATCTCTATAGGCAGCCGTGACTGGCCACACCTGTCTCATGGGACATCACTCTGACTTGACTCTTCTCTCTTCCAATTCATTTTTGCCAAGACACATGGTAACACTGGGCCACACAGGCAACCCAGGACAAGCTCTCTGTTAAAAAGTCGGCTGGTTAGTAACTAACTCTACTCACAGCCGTATTCCCCGTGGGTCAAGTGCTGTAGCAGATTCTCAGTCTCCAGGATTAGGACTCTGGCATCTTGGGCAGTTGTGTTGCCCGTTGTATGACCAGGGGCCCGTAGGGTGGATGCTATCCCTTCTGTCCCATGCCATCTTTACTTCCTGATTCACCACACTTAGCCCTCTCCCAAGGATATGGAGCTCATACTAGAGCCAAGCAAAATGTAAATTTAGTCTCTGGATATGAGATAACGAAAAATAATAACACAGGGAAAAGGAAGAAAATGGAAGGGGAGGGGAGAGGAAGGGAAGAAGGGGAAAGGGAAGGAAGGGGAGGGGAGGGAAAGGAAGGGAAGGGGAAGGGAAAGGGGAAGGAAGGGGATGGGAGAGGAAGGAAAGAAGGGAAAAGGGAATGGAGGGGAGGAGAAGACAAGGTAAGGGAGTGAAGGCACTTGTCACATTTATACATTTGCAAACTCTGTGCTGGCCCACAGACTGCCAGTTTGTTTCTGGGGTTCCTATAAGACCAAACTCCCTCCACATCCAGCAGGATGCACCTTAGCATTAGGCCATCAGTGTCATGGCCCTGGGCGCACTGAACAGGTCTTCTCTGGCATGGAGTGGCCAGACCTGGAGCCTGTATCCCATGCCCCTTAGCAGGATGCCTTGTGCAATACACAACCTCCACACAGTCTACAGCTCTGTCCTGCTGCCTCATACAGCCTGTGACACAAAGCACAAAAGTGGGCAGCGTGCTTGTTGAATGTGTAATTGAATGAAACCCAGTGCCTTTCATTCACTCCGCACCCTGCTCAGGGATCTGTGACCTCCTTCAGAGCGCTTGGCTCTTCATAGCAGGCTCTAGCCACAGGCACAGTGGATACTGCATGCATGTGTGCAAGCGTCAATTACCAGCTTCATTGACCTGGAACCCAGAGTGGGAGCCTGTGCAGGAAATGACCACGGCCTGAGCTGGAAAGGCCAGACCAGGGAGCTGAACCATAGGTCTTCTGACCTGCCCTTGCAGCTGCCCCAGCTGCTTCCTTCCCACTCTCTCCCCTCACCCCCCTGCCCCCACACATTCGAGATTCCCGGGAGGTCGAGCCTGGTGTAATTACAGGGTATCTGCTGCCTCCCTATAAATCTAATAGACTTTTTGGCCTTGTCAGATTAAAACTTACCTATCAACCCGCCGCAGTCCTCTAGATCTCCCTAAATCTGTACTTGGGAGAGAATTTATGGCCAGGAATTGCATTTTGCAAAATGATTAAAGTTGCCAAACAGCCATAAAAAGTTGCAGGAGGAGATATGGTTTTTTTGAAAGTCTGCTTAATTTATAAGGGGTGGAAGGTTTATTGTCATTTAGAGTCCACAGCAAGGCAGCGATGGAGCGTTTGGCGGCAGCTGTGCACAGCTGCTCTTGCTTTATGCCTTTTACATGTTTTTAAATTGCCCTGTTTGAGTCGGGGCTTCTGCAGCCGCGGCAGCAGCCTGGTTTGCAGATAGGGTGGTTCCTCCTGCCCTCTGATGCTGGCCTCTCTTGCCCAACTCCTGAAATGACCCAAGACTCACCTTCCAGAAGTGTTCCTAGATGATCCAGTGTCCCGAGGACCTCTCCATGCCTTCTCCCGCCCTCATCGGCCAGCCCCTGTGACACACCAGCAAGCCCTCACATACGCAGGGCTTTTAAGTTTATAGGCAGTTCCGCGTGTCCTGTCTTGGCGCTTGTCACCCTGGATTAAACGATTAAACAAGATCAAACACTCAAGGCTCTAAACGCCTGGTGTTACCTCTTGAGCTAATAAATAGAATTAGGGCTCCCATTTATTGACCGCATGCAAGACACCAGAACCTCTGCTTCACACTCCTAGCGCATTAAGTCACGGAATCTTGGCAGCCACTGTGGGAGACAGCTGCCGGTTCTACCTGGGTTTGGGGAAGTGCGAGGAACATAAGGCCCAGGTCAGGCAGTCAACGCTCTACGCGCATTAACTATTAGTCATATCAACAGGGCCAAGGGCTCACTTGTCTGTCTTGCAGACTGCGACAGAGCGGGCCCTGGGTGGATGCTGCTGAGGGTGAGCCTGCATGCCTGCATTCCTGGATGAACTGAGCTGTCCCAATTGCTGTGTCTCATCCTCCCCACTTTCCCCTACTGGCCCCAGAGCCGGAATCATTTGAAGTCCAATCTAACACTGATGCAGTTGACACGTGTTTGACGTGTAGTCATTCTTTCTTCATTGCCAAGACGACTGAAGGCACTCCATCCCCGTGGTCCTCTGAGGACGGTTTTAGGAATCCAGTCCTGCAGGAGGGAGGAGGCCGAGGGTGTGTGGCACCTGTTCCAATCACAGCCGCCATGTCAGAGCCAGGATTTTGGATTCCAAGTCCCATGTTTTGTTTTGTTGTTTGGTTTCCTCACCAGCGCCCACCTAACCACCTGCCAGGCATTTGGGGGCGACTCAGAAGTTTTTCTGAATCTTCATCACCATCCTGTCTAGAATTTATTAAATATCCATCACTCACCAGCTGTGTAGACTCACAAGGAAGCCTCATAGCATCCTTGTGAGGTGTATGTTATTTTCCCCATCTTACAGCTGTAGAAACAGATCGAAGGAGGGGGCACAGTGATTGGCTGGGCTGATTCCAGAAGCGAGGGTCAAGAGTAACTGGCATAAAGGCTGAGGGGCGACCTGTAAAGCCAGATTGGCAGGAGCTGGCAGGAGTCTCAGAAGAAGCTTCTAGAAGACTGTATTTCCCAACTGACCTTTGAGGACAGAGTAGAGCTTTATCAGACAATTGATAGGAATTGTCCTCTGGGTAAGCCAGAGCAGAGCTGGTTGGGGCGTGAGCATTTTAGCCTGATCTGGGTTATCCTGAATTCATTCTGTCTTCAGTCTTGAGCTTGTCCTTCCCTTCAATGCAAAGGTGATCAAGAGAGGAGGGAATAAAGGCTGATGTGCCCCGTTGATCCCTATGGTTTCTATCAACCACACCCACGTTTTCTCCTCTAGCCTCCTGCCTGCCCCATGGGGTAGAGAGCAGCTTGGCATGGGATGAAGAGTTGGAGCCACTTGGATGTAGTCCAGTGCCTGCCAGTGCCTCCCTGCCCTTCCATCCTTACTGTCCAGGCCTGTCTTCCTGTGCACAAGCAGGCTTGGCGGGCAAAGCAGCCTCCACTTCAATTTTCCTTGCTTCTCAAGCATTCCAGACACCCAAAGGTGTCTTCTAGTTTGTCTCTGATTCTTGTATTCATTCTTCTACTCATTCATTTGTTGATTCATCCTGCAAATATTTTCTGAGTGTTTGGTATCTCCTAGGTGCTCTTTTGGGGAGCTGGGAACACAGCAACAACCCCAGCTGACCTGCCTATTGTCTTCACAGAGGTTACCCCAACTGAATGGATAGACCTGTTGGTTTTAGAGAGTGACACAGGCCTTGATGTCAGTAAAACACGGGGCATTAGGGGAGGCCTTGGTTTGGTTTGCAGGCTGCAAGAGGGGACATCTGCAGGAGGATTTGTGTGTGGTGAAGCTAATCCAAGGACTTTTTGGATGAAGAACATCCCATACCCGGTGAGCAAGAAGTGCAAAGGCCCTGGGGCGAGAGTGAACTTTACCAGCTCCCGGAGCAGCAGGAGACTGGGGCCTAGAGGTGAGTAAGGATCCAACAGACAGGGATCGTGGGTAGGCTTTAAATTTCCCTGTAAGTTCAATAGCAGCTCTTGGGGGTTTGGGTCTGGGGAGGCCTCTAACTTGATTTATCCACTTCTCTGCCTTTAGTACTGAGAGCAGAGAGACCATTGAGAGCTCTGGGGCCAGGGGATAGTTAGTGAAATGCTCCCATGCAAGCATGAAGACCAGAGTTCAAGCTCCAGAGTTGACTCACACAAGTTGGGTGTGGTGCATGAGCTGGAGAGACGGCCAGGGAGGGGGCTTCTTGGGACTAGCTGACTGGTCAGTCTAGCCAAATAAGTGAGTTCTGGGTTCATGACACTGTCTCAAAGGAGGTAGACAGTGTTCTTGGGGATGACACTCAAGATTGTCCCGAGCTTCCCACACACATCTGTGTATTCAGGAGCGCGCGCGCGCGCGCACACACACACACACACACACACACATACACACACACACACACACACACACACACACACACACACACGAGAAGAAATGTGCCAGCCACGAGTCTGACACCATAGTCTTCTCTAGCACCTATAGTTCCTCACACATACACATCTCTTTCCAGGAATGTCTCTACCCATCCTTTTTTACAAAGTTCCTGTTCACTCCTGAGGTCCCAGCTCCTACGTACCCTTCTGGGGAGTCCTTCACCCTCTCCCACAGCAGGATAAATTCACATTCTCACCTCATTACCAGTTCCAGCCATGGGCACACATAGTGTGTCTCTGGTCCTTCCCTCCACTAGGCCAAGTGTCTTTCAGACACAAAGATCTCACTCTGATGTGTCTCAGAGACCACAGGCCTTCCCTAGCCTGCTCTGGGGGTGGGGCCTGACAAATGCTTTCTGGGTTGATGTGAGTTATTTGAGCACCTGGGTCATTGGCTGAAGCACCAAGTTAACAAGTGCCCTTATAACAAGCGAGATTGGAAGTATCACACTGTTCTTCCTGGTGATGCTCCAACAAATCCACATTTTCTGGGACTCCTGACCCACGGAGGGTGTTCCTCAGTGTTTTCTAAAATCAGTAGCCAGCGAGAGTCAAATTTGAATAGACATCTCTCAAGAGCCGGTCCTGTATTACCTTGAGAGAAATGTTTGTTAAAAAAAAAGATCCTAGTTGCTAGAATGCATCTTGTAAATACTGGCGTTTGAAAATGTACACTTGCAGGATGCTTGGTTCCTGTACATGTTCGCTTGCGACTGTAAATCTGTTTGTCACAGATGCTTCCGATGCCTGCTTGTTGTTTTCTTTTTCTTAATTAATCTATTGATGTCGAATTATGCATCTTTTCCTATGAAGCTAGAAGTGTATTTAAAAGCTCATTTCCTAGTCTGAGACATGTGCAAATAAAAGTTGAAGAAGATTGGAGCAGTGTCCTGTCTCTTTATCCCATCTAAGGACTAACCTGGCGTCTCGGGGGTGGTGTGACCAGACACATGGCAGCTTAGGTCAAGGATGCGACCTTGTTTGCCGAGACAGCTCTGGTCCAAGTCTTGCCTGTGACTTCAGCAAATACTCGCTGATGGAGGAATAGTGAAGTTTGCCACCCAACTCAGCTGCCCTTCTCCTCATTGTTTCAAAGCCCAGTGTGGACTGAGGTCCGCTGTTTGCCCTGCAGGGGGTGTGCATCTCCTGCCCAGCCCACCCTGAGTACCAGGCTGTGACCTGTTCTTACAATGGGCTGCCTCTTGTGCATAACAGAGATTGGCTAGGGCTGCAAGATCTTGGCAACTTCTGGGTAAATGCTGAAAACAGTATCCCAAGATCCCCATACTTAATCACAGGGATGGCCAGGATGGAGAAAGAGAAACAAGTAAATAACCGAAATCTGAGTTTCACACAACTGTTTGTTAAAGATGTCCAGCTCCTTGGTACTTCTTTTGAGACTCAGTGTCCACACTGATATAAAGGGTGTCACAGTGCATTTAGGAAGAGAGCTTTACACGGCTGAGGGGCACATCAGCTGCTGAGATCCAGGCAATGGAACCTCTACCTTTGCTTCTGATGTCAAAGTTCAGATTGAGACAAAGACCCTTGCTCCAACTCTGGTGAAGTCCGTGTCTGTTTCACTTAGATATCATGGAGCCTGGTGTGGTCGGGGGGTTCGTTGAAGATCATACAGCTTCTGCCATAGCCAACCCTCAACCCAGACAGCTGCTGTCTACTCTGGCTCGAACAAGGCTGTCGCTTACCCTGGTCTTGCTTCATCCCTCTAGGCTACAGCACTTGGACAGGTGGTTCTGAGGTAATTGGTGCCAGATGGCCTGTTCCTCTCAAAAGACAATGTAAAACTTCACCCCTAATGTCTTGTTCATAGTATCCATTCGGCCTACAAGTAGGTTCTCAAGAGCCCGCCGTGTGCAAGAGCCAGGAGGAATTAGAATACAGCAGAAAAGACATACAGCCTTGGATCCTTGGAGTCTGCGCTCCGGGTAGGGGTGGGTAGAGGCTTAGGGTAGAGGTGAACAGGCAGCAGGGAGAGGTGGGGAGAGAGGGTAGGGGAGACTGGAGGTTTGGGGTAGTGGTGTACAGTCACAGCAAGCGTAAAGATGAAAGAATTCGAGCTGAATGCCCGCTGGCTCTAAGTGCTCCCTCCTGGAAGTCCATCTTCTAGTCTGACTGTAACATCTGTCTGTCAAGTTTCTGGGAGACTGTGTCGTCTGGAATAGAAGCAGGCACATCTTGGGTGAGTGTAGGTGGAGGATCTAGCTCTTTCAGCACAGAATTCTGTGTTCCTCATCCTGTGTTCCCCTAATTTTCAGGCAGAAAAGGAGGCGAACGATGTGTTATGTGTGTCGAACTGAGGTGGGCCGTGCAGTTGCATTTTGGGACAAGGAGGAGGCTGGAGATCCTGGTGGGAGGATGCTCAGGGCCTCTGACCTCACTGTGAGAGCTGCAGAGTGGGGGAGGTAGGGACGTACCAAAGGTCTGCAGAATGAGCAGCATAGCACGGTTTGATTGGAGCAACGGAGTTTGGGTCAGACAGGCCAAGAAGCATGGAGAACATTCACACCATTGTTGCAGAGTTCTACTTAAGTGTTATGGTCTCTTCCCTTGTCCAGCTTAGGGCCTGCTCTGGAATCCACAAGACCCCCAACTCCAAACCCCCAGCAGCAGAGTGCAGGATGGCATTGTTGTCCATCATAAAAATCAATGGTCCTTTTGCTAAGTGGTCAATATTTATTTGGCTTTAGCATTGTTTAATTCAATGCATCAATTAAAGATAGTGTCATGTCTGCTCTGGTCTGCAGCCTGGGCCCTCTGTGTGTCGTTACCTCATCGGTTCGAGATCACTCATATCCTTACATCTCTGCTCCTTTGTCCCTTTGCATAACTCAAGGACAGGAGTAATTGACGTGAAACTTTTAAAAATTAATTTTGCTGCATATGCCACGGAGGGAGAGTGCAGGTCCTCCCAGCCATTTATAACGTCACGGTGATTGGTCCTGACAAAACAATACCTTAAAAACTCACCAAAGTAAATTATGGCCCGAGCAAATGGCTGCTCCGCGGCAGGGCCGGAGGCTTGGAGGGGAGCCAGGCAAAAACAAAGTAATGTGCTTTTGATATTAATAACAGAGATGATATCGATCTGCACGCCGGTGTCACTTCTCCACGCCGGCGAGGAGATTGCTCCCGGCGTTTAGTCCACTGAAAGCCACTTTCCATGCAGGCCATTTAATTTTGTGAGTCTTTAATTATGTGAAATGGAGTCTAGTTAAAGGGCCAGGTCCCAGTTTCGCCAGGCGGAGACGTGGGCTGTGATTCAGGAAGCTGTCAGAAGTGCATATAACTCAATTCTTAGATCTGCAAATGCAGTTGCCTCTCTAAATGTTTATTTCATCCTTGCACTTCCCTGGCCTGGTGCCACCGTGCGTCAGGACAGACACAGACTCTGGCTACAGGACCACATTTTTCAAAGGACCTGAAGTTAATGTGCCTGTTTTCTGTATAATAAAAGCCATAACTCACAGGAGCCGCCAACGCGCGCCCCCCCATCCCAAAGGCTGCTGAAGGGACCGTGCATCCCAGCCCCAGTAATCTGATCATCCTGGGCCTGGCTTGATTCTGGACTTCTGGTCCTCTTGTGGATCTGTGGCAGACCACACTGGGAGACCACAAATCAGACCACAGACCCGACCATGGGTCAGAACACTTCAGAGTTTCAGGAGATAGACGGGAGAGGAACCCACATACCAGACCACAGTGACAGTCACAGCTTCTGCTCTAGACTTCTGGACAGTGGCCCCACAGGGCTGTGCCTGGGATGGTCAGCACCTTTCATCAGTTCAGGTCGGCCAGTCTGCGCTCCCTCTCTCATTCACACACAGCCCCCCCCTCTGGAATTGGGCTCTGCATTGTAATGTTTTTATACTGATCTTTCTGTCACCTGACAGTTACAGCTGTCCTGGGTGTGACAGAGGACTTTCTTGTTAAACCACATCTTCAGTGCTTTAAAAAAGCCTGCCTGGACCTCCCTGGATGGTTCTGGGTGCTGCCTGGGTGATCCATGGCAGGGACCACATGGAGGTATTCAGGCTGACCCGACTAGCTTCTGCCTTTCGGCTGACATGTAACAAAGAGATATTGGGGGTAAAATGATCTACCATTTGTCTAGAACTTGGCACCCCTGACAGCGCTGATACTCCAGTCCAAGATGAAGAGCCATCAAGATAGAGGGCCCTAGAACAGGCACGTGTGCATCACATGAGGGTGCCCCTGCCCCTTGCCCTCTTCTACTTTGGGAGTAGTTTTGCTAGGCTCCATATTGCTTGTCCAGCCCACAGGAGTCTTAGGATTAGAACACGGAAGGGGGAAGTGACTTCTGGAAGTGCCACTGCCAGAACAGGAGGAAGTCACTAAGGCCTGGGAAGAAGACAACGTTAAAAGCCTACACAGGAACCGTGGAGGTGGCAGTAAAGTGAACTTTATAGAGCAGTGTGGAGGAAGAGGATATGTAAACAAACACAGCTGGGAGGTGAAGGGTTAAGGAAAGCCAGGGACAGGCTGGGGAGATTGCTCAGTGGGTCAAGTGCTTGCTGCAGAAGCATGAATATCTGAGTTTGAATCTTCCACAACTGCATAAAAAGCCTGTGCAGCCAGGCGGTGGTGGCGCACGCCTTTAATCCCAGCACTCAGGAGGTAGAGGTAGGCGTATCTCTGTGAGTTCAAGGGCAACCTGGGGTACAGGACAGGCTCCAAAGCTACAGAGAAACCCTGTCTTGAAAAACCAGAAAAAGAAAAAAATAAGCCAGGTGCAAGGGCATATACTTGTCATTCAATCCTGGGAGGTAGAGACAGGACAGTCCCTGGGGGGGTGGGGGGCGGTCCCTGACCAGGGAGTCTAGTGGAATTGGTGAACTCCAGGTTCAGTGAGAGACCTTATTTTAAATACAGTGGAGAGAGGTTGAGGAAGACACCTGATGTTAAGCTCCATTCCCGTGTGCATGTACACACAGGTGCATGACTAGTCCCACACGTGTAAGATCCAAGAGGGTCTCCCTTCATATAGTAACATGGAGAGGCCATCTCTCGGGGTAGAGAAGTGTGATCCAATTGACCTCAGGGTTATCTACCTGTGACAATCTGATGTAGGAAGGTATTCTACCTATCTGTTGCTTTCATTGGTTAATTAATAAAGAAAACTGCTTGGCCTGATAGGTCAGAACATAGGTAGGCGGGGAAGACAGAACAGAATTGTGGGAGAAAGAAAGCAGAGGCAGGGGGGATGTGATGAGATGGACGTAGATTAGAATCTTCCCGGTAAGCCACCACCACGTGGTGCTACACACATTAATAGAAATGGGTTAGTCAAGATGTGAGAGTTAGCCAATAAGAGGCTACAGATAATGGGCCAGACAGTGTTTAAATGAATACAATTTGCGTGTTGTTATTTCGGGTGTAAAGCTAGCCGTGCGGGAGCCGGGTGGGATGAAAAGCAGGCCTGCTTGCCTCATCACTACAATCCTTTCTTCCCTATCCTCGGCTGCAGAGGGACCTGAGACCCTCTCTCCAGCTGTGCACACCTAAAGAAACACTCGTGCACAGAGGCTGATGTCCACCCTGGCGATGACAGTGGGCACCGCTGGTGTTCCTTGCAGAAGCCCCCATCTGCAGGGCTGTTCCCTAGGGGTTGCTGTCATTTGGATGGCTCAGGTGTCTCCCACAGTTTTATATGTTGGAAATTGGTTCCCAAGCCACAGTGTTGAGTGATGAGACCTTTAAGAGGAGGGGCCTAGTGACCAGCGGCTGAATGGAGCTCCCATGGACTCCGCTTAGTTCCTGTGAGGAAGGATTGTTATAAAGGGAACTCCCTTGCTTCCAGTCGTGCCACGTGGCTGTCTTCTCCAAATCACACATATT